GAAGTGAAGAATTGATGGCTTCAGGGGCATTAGGAATAACCTGGAAGGTTGGAGGCCACAAATAAGGACTTGAGGGCTTCATGTGGCCTGAACATGTGGGCTGCACTTTGCTCACACTTGAGTCAGAAGATGATGCTACTCACACGTATTATCACAAAATAACCAACAAAATCTAGAAGAGTAGTAAAGGTGAAAGTAGGGTGTTCAGTTGCAGCATGCTGGTCTCTGAGACTTTTCACAGTTCTGTGTTTTGCAGCTTCTCTGGAAGTCCTATTTCCAGCAGAGAAGTAGTTTGCAGTAAGATTAATGACATATTTATCCAAGAGGTGCACTTTGGATTCCAGCGGCCATCAGGAGTGAACCTCACATTCATCAAGCTGTCCTCACCAGGGAGAATGGGAAGTTCATTTATCCCAGGCTAGAGTCTGATAGTGTAATTGCATTAGGAAAATGGCATTTACCGACTGGATGTCATTAGCATATTCACGTTTGTTGCCCTTACCTCTGTCTGGCAAACAGAATGCCGTTATCTAGCATTCAAAGAAATATGCATGTTGTTTAAAATATTCAATGTCTAAATGGGTGAAGACAAACTACTTCCAGCAGGGAGACCTACTCCTGCTGCCATCTGACAGCTGCTGAGTGCTTAGCTTGGCTCCTCACACTGGTCCTTTCAGCTACATTTGACTGTTCCATGGAGATGTGCTTTTCCAAGATGTGCTTCTTAAGGCTGCTTTCCGATGTACGGCCTCCAAGGACAGACTGCTTCCAGCTATGCCCATGTGGCAGCTGCTGCACAGAAGGAGCTGTTTCATGTGCATTTCCTCCACAGACACACAGACACACACACACTGTGTTCTAAGTACATGGAGATCTAAGCCACATCTTTTACAAACAAGCAAGTCTTTGTTGTGGTCTTGGCTGTGCTCTGGCAGATGACCAAAGGTGAGTATGGCACCTCCTTGTCAAGCAGGGTTCAGGTCACAGAAAGAATCAATATATCAATAAAGAAAACTGAAATAGTCAAGAGTTCTTGGCTCATACATTGATCAGAACAGAGACTGCAGTCAGGAAATCAGAAGAAGATTGGGGAGAACTGCTATGAAGGAACTAGACAAGATCATAAAATGTAAAGATATAACTGAACACTAAAGTGAGGATTGTCCAAGCCATTGTGTCTCCCATCAACATGTATGGATGTGAGAGCTGGCCATGAAGAAAGCCGATAGGAAGAAATAAATTCATTTGAAATGTGGTGCTAGAGAAGAGTACTAAGAATACCATGGACAGCCAAGAAAACAAACAAATGGGTTCTAGAACAGATCAAGCCAGGACTTTCTCTGGTAACCAAGATGACTAAATTGAGGCTTTTGTATTTTGGCCACATCATGAGGAAAAGTGAAAAATTAGAAAAGACAATGATGCTAAGGAAAGTGGAGGGCAGCAGAAAAAGAAGAAGACAGCATGCTAGGTGGATAGACCCAGGCAGTTAGCCTGCAGGATCTGAACAGAGAGGATGAGGACAAGGAGTCTTGGAGATGTCTCAATGACGGGATTGCTATGAGTTGAGGCTGACTTGAGGGCAGCTAACAGCTAACAACAACAACAACAAACTTCCCTCTAGATGGTTAACACTACAACTACCACTGTCTACACTGGTAGAAGTTCCTGGTAATTGCATGTAGCACTGGGTACCACAGTAGCCCTATGCATGCAGGTGTTCTTAATGCATTTCAAATCACAGAAGGTTTGAACTTCTGACTTCTAGGACAAGGAAGATGGCAGAATCAGAGATGGGGACACAATGGAAGAATCTAGCTAGCTCATTTCCACTCTCCCCATCATCATATAAAGATAGGAGTGCCTGAATAGAGCAATTTAAAGGACACTGACAGACTCAAGATTGTCAAACCCTTCTGGTCACTTTTACTTATGAAATAAAAGCTCCCTCTGGCCTAAAGAAGGCCCTGGGAGGGGAGGCAACAGTTTGAATGGCCAATCATACTTCTTAGAGACTTCTGGGGGTACAATTTGCCATTTTTAGCCCCTACCATTTTGGGGTGGTGGTGATGAGAAACAACCTTGGTGGCTGTTCATGGTCCATGGAATGCTCTTTGCCTACCTCTGGTCTAGTCTAGAGTACAATGACTACAGTCTAGAAATGAAGGGTTCTGATTAATTGTTGAAAGAACTGGGAATGTTTAGTTTGGAGAAGATTAAGGAGAGCTGTTATTGTGGTCTTCAAATCTTGGAAGGGCTGGCATGTAGAAAGAGAAGTACACTTGTCTGAAGACTTTACTCTTCCTGGAATTGAGTTCAGAGAGGCAGAACTAGAATCAATGGGGTGAAATGCCACACAAGCAGATTTTAGTTAAACATTCAGTGAATGTCCCAATATCAGTAAGAGCAGCTGGAATAGTGCCTCAAGATCTTGTAGGCTCTACTTCAGTATGTAAGCAATGTCTGGACAAAGCAGTGGTTAATGGCGTCCATGTTGGTGGGACGGTGAATTCACTCCAAGCTTCATATGAACTTTGCAGGTGCTATCCATGGTGCTGAAGCACAGCACAAAATAGACCCAGCACTTTAGAGAACTCATTCAAAGTTTGTACAGATATGGGACCTATTAGCCACGGTTGGCAGCTTGGTCATCTGTCAGGGATGCTATTGTTTCATCCTTTATTTCCAATCCTATACTGAGCAATGGGCTAGACTATATGATAATCCAGGTCTCCTTCCAGCTCTGTAATTCTATGATTCATATTATTTGAAACCCATTTGCTCATGGTGGATAGGAATGCACACTTGTGACTGCAGAATGCAAGATGAATACTCCAGTGCTATACTATAAAATCAAAACTAGGCATGAGTGAAAAAAGGTAGTAATTTTCTCTTCATAAAAAGGATATGAATGACTGAGTGACATTTCAGCTCTGCATCTGAGGTTTGCACACACAGTCGATTACATTAATCAGAGATGGATATCTTTATATTCCTGTCAGAAGGAGAAAAGGTCTTATCACTGAGTTTGAGATATTGGTCAAACTTTGTTAATCTCTTGGGCTGTCAGCCTGTCAGAAGAATTATATGGATTAGCAGGCAATTGCTCATTAACAAGCTAATTATAACAAGGTCATGGAAGAAATATACTTGCCAAAAAAATATAGAGAATTCAAGTTAATAAGAGCAGTGCCTTTATGTCTGAATGCAAAGTGGAGAGTGAAAATTCTTCATTATTCTCGTTCTATAATAATGAGCAAAAAGATAAACAGGATGGTTTGGAACAGAAGGCAAATGACTGAGTTGTGCACTCCTCGATTTGCTCAAAATTAAGGACAACATTATCTGATTCCAGTCTCAATCTGAATATAAAGGCACACATTTTAAAACTGTTAGAGACAAGACAATCCTCTCTTCATACATCAGAATATGATATTCTTTTAAAAAAATTGTTTGACAAAGGGCAATTTGGTCCCAAAGCTTATACATCCATCCAGAGAAAGCAACAGAGGTAATTAAAAGAGTAATATTACGTCTTGCTGAGCTTAAAATTAGGCGTGATATCCAGGGGTCAATTTTGCCCCAAACTGCCAAAAATCCACCCATTGCAGAAAAACAAAATCAGAAGTAGTCAGATATCTACTTCTAGTTTTGAATAACATTTAAAAAGTTTTCAGTCTGTTTAAAGAGTGAATTGAAATTCTTGGAGGGTTCTGAGAGAAGCCTTTCATCATTTTTTTGGTAGCAGTGGTGGAAAAAGTCTAGGAGTTCTGGAAGGATTGAGGGTCACAAAACAGCCTAAGGGGCCATATGCAGACTGCAGGTGTATGGAAGCGCTGGTTGGAGATGATGGATGTTGTAGTTCAACACATCTGGAGGACTTGCTATAAGCTCAAGCTAACAGTGCCCTACATGACCCTGGGTTCATTGGAAAACCCAAATTAGACTTTTCATTCCCCAAATGTACTGTTTCTCCTTTGTTGTTTCCTTGCCATAGGAGAATTTGAATCTTCTGGTACATGGGGATCTTAAGGTTGGTGGATGGAGAATTAAAATCTCTTATTTGGTAAGTCTAAGCAAAGGCAGCGAATGTATTTCATGGGAGTTGGGGAGGATTGAGTCCATTCTGGGCTTTATTCCATACTTTAAAGAAGCTGTCCAAGATGGCGAACACTATCCCACAATGGAATTCAGCAGCTCATATAGCTATCTCCTTTAAAGTAAGGAAATCCAGAGCAGATTCACTTCACCCCTGATATGGAAGCCATCTCTGAGTCTAAGCCAGGGGTAGGCAAACTGTCCTCTTTAAGGGCCGAGGGACTTCAGCTCCCCGAATCCCATGAGCTATTGGCCAACATGGGACTACTGGCCAACATGGCTGAGGCTTCTGGGAGCTGAAATCCCTCGGCCCTTAAAGGGGAAAGGTTGCCTACCCCTGGTCTAAGCCATTACAGGTTTGCTTTCTTCCATTTTGTGGATACTGGTTAACCACTATTTCATTGGAAGAGGCTGTTCAAAGTGCCAGGTTTGACCTATAAAGCAGACCATCTGACAGATGGTATGTTCCTCATATAAGCTTGCCTGGGCTTTGAGGTTTTTGGAAGAGGCCTTCTCTTGGTTCTGCTACCCTCAGAGACACATCTGGTGAGGATGTGAGAGAAGGCCTCCTTGGTGGCTGCTCCCTTCACAAGGGAAGCCAAAATGGCTTTCCCATCCAGGCCTTCAGACAGACTTTGGGCAAGTGACTGGTTGCTACAGAAAGGGCTTTCAATGAGTGTGTCTTGCATTTTTACAATTTTAAATTGCTGTATTTTAAAATCTGTTTTAATTTAAATTATGTTTTAATTTTATAACTACTTAATATGACTTTAATCTTGTATCTCATTACATTTTGATTTGTATCTGTTGTTGTTTTTGAATAATGTTGTTAGCTCTCCTGCATGCCAGTCTATGAGAAAGGTGGGATGACCAATAAATTAATTTTAAAAAGCCAGTTGAGAGATTGTGTGGTGTAGTGGATTGAGTGCTGGACTTCAGCTCTGGAGATCAGGGTTCAGTTCCCTACTTGGCCATAGAGTAGGTGATCTTGGCCAAGTCACTTACTCTCAGCCCCAGAAAACCCCATGATAGGTTTGCCTTGGGGTCATCATAAGTTGGAAATATCTTGAAGGCACACAATAACAATAACAATAAAAGCATTTCAGGGGGCAGTGCGAGCAACTCTGATATACAGTGTAAAGGTGACTATAGAAAGTACATAATTCTCTCTGGAAATTGGCTGTGGTTTATGAATAACACATATACCATTCCAGAAGTCATCCCTGCAGGCTTGTGGTTTTGTTTTAGGGGTTTATATTTTTTGCATCAGTGAAGAGCTCTCTGCTTAGAGCGAAGTGACTTTGTGCACAAAGTGCGTCTGAGAGAATCCTTCATTTCTGCTCCTTATCTGAGACACGCATTCATTGATCAGAGGGGAGAATTTAGCCCAAATGTTAACACAAACAAATCTAATGATGCAAATCAAATAGACAAATAGGCTGAGGGCGAATTTCAAAGCTCCTTCCAATTTAGAAACACAGCTCTGGAGCCCTGTGCCAAGCGCAAATTGCAATGAATTACGAGCAAGCTCCGAAAAAATGACTGAGAAAATTCTATGATTAAAAGGCAGTCATTTCCAGCAACAATTGCCTCACTATAACACACAGGACTTCTAAATTATACACATCAAAGGAGACAATTCACTGCTGGACAATAGCAGGGAACTTAGCTCAGAACGGTGTATTTTCAATTTGTCTTGTTACCCTCTTGAGCCTCAAGCCTTCTTCTTTTTTTCCTTTTTCCTTTCCACCCCTTTGTACAAAGCAATCCAGCTTTCAAAGTCAATTCAGTGGGCAATTAGGCCTCTTTGACACTTGCTCTGGGCATCACAAGAGAGCCACTTCCATGCAGCACAATCTCATGCTGCAAGAGCATGCATGCAAACAGACTGTGGGTATGTCAGCTCCAACCGTACTCATCTTTTCTGCCAAATCATCTGCTTTGTCTCTGTGGGCTGCTGAAGGTATGTTGAGAGCCACCCAGTTGTCCTTGGGGTATTACTTGTAATGCGGAGTTACATGCGAACGTCAATGGCACAAGACTTGAAAGTTAGCCACACTTTCTGGGTCTCTCTTTCCCTCCCCATTATTTCATTCAGCAACGTGGGCTAAAGGGATTTTTGTTTCAGGATTACAAAAGCCACTGGGTAGGAAATGAAGAGGAGGAGTAAGGAGGAAAGGAACTCATCACCTGTCACTTGTGCTAAATCAGGGATCGTCTGGACCTCCAGATTGTGTGGACCTCCTAGCATTTCTTACCATTGGATCTCTGGGATAGGAGCTGCTGGGAGTTGCAGTCCCACCATATTTGGAGTACCACATGATGGAGGTCCAGACGATCCCCATGCTTAGACAAGATCAGTTGTTTTCAAACATTGGTCCTCCAGATATTTTGGACTCCAGGGCCCAGAATTGGTAAAATCAGTATGCAAAGGGATCTTGTAGCCATGTTAGTCTAAAAAAATCACTATGCAAAGGGATCTTGTAGCATCTTTGAGACTAATTGAAAGAAAGAAGCATGAGCTTTTGTAGACATGAGCCTAATTCTTCATAAATCTGAGGAAGTTGGCTCAAGTCTACGAAAGCTCATGTGACCAATTTCTTCCTCTCAGTTAGTTTCAAAGATCCTACAAGATCCTACAAGATCCTTTTGCATACTTAAACATCCCATGCTACTCTATCATGCTATGCAGGTGGTATTGGTGTCTGGCTGGATGCTTGCAAAGAGCTTTCATTAGGATTGGGTAAGATGTCTACTTTGCACATCAAGAGGAATGCTAACCTGGACCTTTCTTGATTTGACATAAAGGAAGATTTGAAATTTAGCCCCTCTGCACTGCACCCTGTGGAGTTCAGTTTAGGTAGGAGAAGCATTTCTAGTTGATTCTCTTGATTGTATCAATTGGCCCTGAGCACCTTTGATTGCAGCCATTAGTAAAATCCCTGCTCACAGCATGCCCTTGGGAAAAATACAGCCTATTGCATTCATCAATAATGGGGGAATAATTGTGACTGAACTCATAAGGCCAATGAGACAAGGATGGTAAAGTGGCACTTTTCTAGCAAATGGTGGATACTGTAGTCATAAACCTTGAGATGTTTCAGGCTTTTATTTTACCTTGGCTATTCCACACCTCAGCAGTCTCTACTGCTGACAAATGTAATAACCTCAGCAAATGAGAATTCTATTCCCTTTCTCATTCTTGGCTGATCCACTCCTTGGGATATTTGGCAACAGTGCCTCAGCCTTGGCACATGCCGATGGTGACTTCTCAACCTCATGCACCACTCCATCTGTCAGAGAGTGAGAGCAAGGAGGGGGCCATTGCCAGAGTCCTAGTGCCATGAATTATACATACTGCTGGCAACCCTCTGCAGGTCAAGGAAGCTGCAGGCCAGTTGTAACACGAGACTAGAAATTAGTGGATGACCTTGCAACTCCATGCAAAAGAACAGGAGGATCCAACTCCCCCGTGAAATGAGTGAGAACAAGAGCAGCATTGTTGCCTTTCAAGAATGGGCTTACAGGAACTTTAATTACCAAACAAAAATATTCCTTTATGACTACTGGAAACATTAATCAGGAGGCATTATCTGCTAGGAGACCTGACATGTGAGTAAGTCACTTCTTTGGAAACTAAATTCAGCTGTTGGAGCACCTTTGAGACTAACTGAAAGAAAGAAATTGGCAGCATGAGCTTTCGTAGACTCCAGCCCTGGAGTCTACGAAAGCTCATGCTGCCAATTTTTTTCTTTCAGTTAGTCTCAAAGGTGCTGCAAGATCTCTCTACATACTGATTCTACAGACTAACACAGCTATATCTTTAAATTCAGCTGGTGAATGTTAGTAGCAAAAAAGAGCCTGCTACAAAAAGAGAAAGATGTAGGTATCAGCTTTGGGAGCCATGGGTTTTGCAGAAGCACATCAAACAAGTATGTTAGCAACCACTATGCCTGTAAAGGTGCACACATACCCCACACTCCTCAATAGCTCCATGAGAACTGAACATAGCTAGTAGTCACAAAATACTGACTATCCAACATGAATGCGGGAGACAGATAGAAAATTAGGGAGGGAGGCGAATCACGTGGAGTATTCTTGGAGAAAAAATGGGGTATTACTAAATAGCTGATTGGCTGCTGACTGGATAGGACCCTGAAAAAGTAGTAACATACATCACAATATAGAAATGGGGGGGGGGAATTAGGTTAGTTGCGCCTATAAATGTGTAAAGTGTGGGGGGGAATTAAACTCTAAATTTGTGCAAATTTCAATGTGGGAAGAAAACAAACTTTTGAAGCCCAATATAAAATAAGGAAGGGAAGAAAATACAGGCAAGTTTCCAGCAAACTCAATGCAGTTGGGGTGGAGAGATTTCCACTGGGAATGGAGCTCTACCAAGTAAGAGTGGGGTCATATTTACATTGATGTTTGTGGGCTCCCATGTTAATGGGGGTCACTAAATCTGCCCCGGGTTTTAGTTTATAGGGTTCAACACCTGGGATAATTTCTTTACAGTTCAGGCTATACCTAGAGCAGATTCATGCCGTAGAATCTATTCCACCAGCATGTACGCTACTGAATTTTTGCTACCCTTCCCCTTGCCAGAGTCAACTGTGAGTGCCTTTCTCTGATATTTTCCTTTATTTTGCTGAGGAGCTCCCAGAATGGAAGTCGTTCTCTTTTGATTCTCATAGAACGCTGCCACTATCAGACAAGAACAGGTCAGAAAGAGTGGCATCCAGCTTTTCATACTGACATGTTTCTTGTGTAAACCCATAACATCTTTTAAAAGAGAGAGGGAGGGAGACATATGGGGGATTTGTGCATTTTAGCGATTGGTGCCCCTTTGGATGCTTCTGCAGTCCTTGCCAATCTTCTCCTTTCTTTACCTAAGAGCTGACAACCCTTTCAAAGAGAGCTTGGGTGCCACTCAAGCTCTGGCATGTTGCCAGATAATGATAAAGATTCACTGTTCTTTGATGTGTTATCTTGGCCTTCAGGGTCAGCCTGTAATCTCAAGCTTAGGAATTTAGTAGGCTGCACAACATCTCAGTAAAACCAAAGTTTTCGAAGGGACTTCTAAGATTGCCCAGATTTGTGATATGGAGAAAGATGGTGCTGATTAAATACAAAAATGGATCAGAAAAATAGACTTCAAATGCAGGGGTGGACATTTGCTCCTTTCTGGAGCATAGAGCATCCCCTGTGGTCAAGTCAGCATCTTTGATGAGCTAGTACAGAAGAGTAGCTAAGAGACCACGCTGTGAACCCACATAGATTTTATATAAATCTTTCCTTTGCTAACAATGCCATTACCTCTTTCATTGCAAAGGGTCATAGCTTTGCATTCAGAAGGTCTCAGGTTCAGTCCTCAGTGTCCCCAGTTAGAAGGATCTAAGATCCTTTTCTACAGACCAGGGAAAGTCCTCCTTCTCAGATCTTGGGAAGTAGCTGCTAGCCAGAAAAGAGACAACACAGATCTGCTAATACTGGGGGAGATTCAAGACAGAAAAAAAGGAAAACCTTCTTCACACAGTGATAGGAATCCCCTTCCACAAATCCTGATGGCTTTGAAGGCTTCTCCAGCTTGTCCAGATTTACAGGATAAGTAAATGTCCAGTAAATGGTCTGAGAGTTTCTGGTCCAGAAATTTCCAGTTTGATTTTAAATACTCAGCTGAGAAAAATAATGCATCAGACCATTTTTACTAATAAAACAATAATCTTTTGAGCATTTTGAGACAACTCTCCATTTTCTCCTGTGGATGTCATTGGATGGTTCCCCAGTTTCTGCATCTTTAATAGTTTTGATGGCAGTATGTCTGTAAATGAGAGCTCAGAAAGTTACTTTTGGAAACTACAACTCTCAGAACCCCCTAGCTACCATGGGCACTAGCCATGCTGGTTCAGAACTTCTGGGAGTTCTAATCCACAAAAATACATTTCCATTGTACTCTGCTAAAGAAACCATTTTGGACTACAAAATGCATGCAACAGAATGAAGCAGCTGTAGAAAGGAACTACTACCTGCATTTGGGCTACCCACAGGCAGCTGGCTATCCTGTGTAAGCATCTGGTTGACTATCCTGGTCAACAAGTCTACCAAGGGGGTAGATGCCAGACTTAATGGACAATTCATTAAGGCTATTCTTCAATTGCTAGTCCTTAAAATAGTCTGATGGCTTAACTCTTGATAAAGTAGCTGTTGATTTATGGTGACCCCATAGATTTCACAGGGTTTTCTTAAGCAAGAATGTGGTTTTGTCAGTTCCTTCCTCTGAAATACAGCCTACAGCATCTGATATTTGTTGGCAGTCTCCCATTCAAGTACTAACCAGGGCTGCTTAGCTTCAAGATCAGACAGAATATGGTGCCTTTAGGGTATTGAGGCCCTTATGCCTCTGTCTATCAGTTGCTGGAGAATGTGAGATGGAAAGTGTAGTTGCATTCATGACTTCCATAGGCAACTGATTGACCACTGTATGAACAGAAGGTTGGGCTCCATAGGCATTTAGTTTAGTTTCAGTCTGACCCAACACATCACCTCTTCTTGGAATTTTTGGCCATTGCAACCTGTCCAAATCTGTCCCCTCCCCAGCACCTGCTATAAGAGGGAAGGTTACAAACAAGGAACATTTCCAAGCACTGTTGATTCCTCTCACTATTTTGATGTCCTGTATATAATGTATTTATATTGGATTTGATAGCATAAAATGATATAGCTACATTTTTACATTTACATTACAATACTATATGCTATTTTTTGTGTTTTTCAGTTAAAAATCAGATTAAATGTGGAATACTGGAAAAGATTCCTCAGGTTTAAATTAGAATCTTGAGCCTTATCACATGAGAAGAGAAAGCTGAAACAAAGCTGGAGAATAGCAGCTTTCTCCATGCCTTTCCACATGCCATAGTAGCATATGCAATAAGGCTCAATATTCTATTCTCTTCCCAAGGAAGATAGTTGTAAAAGTATGTATTTTGTCATGTTGGAAAAAAATCCATTTGACAAAAGGCACACTTTTACAACCGCCTTCCCTTTGGAAGGGAATGGAAGTGCTGTGATGGCATATGGAAAGGCATAAAGTTGCTACTCTCCCACACCATTTTGGCTTTCTTTTCTCATACGATAAGGCTCTTGGATACAGTACTGTTGGTCAATGGTTTCATTTCATTTGTTATTGCTCAGGCCATAGGCCATTTGCATAGAGAACAAATGAGTGAAATAAAAAAGCACAACATGGAATAAAGCACATACAGAACTAGAATACATAAATGGGATATAAATATGAATATGCAAAAAAAATCAGTAGGGAAAAAAAGCAATGATGCTGCAAATAAATAAAAACATCCTGGGAGCAACTGTAATGCCAGAAGTAATTTTTGCCAGGATTTTTGCTTCTGCCAGGGCAAAAAGAGAAAACCTGTGAGCTTCAGTAAAGTCAGACAGGAGATCCTTTCTGAATCTTTTCTGAAACAGAGTACAGAGACCCAAAATATAGTTCTCAGTTCAGAATATAAACTGCAACAACAATTAAGAACAACCACAAATAATGAGGCAAATCCTCAGTATTGGAGCCTGCAAAATACAGAAATGGAGGATGATGGAAGTAGGAGAATATCTGGCATCAGTCATGGCTGTAGCTATAGTGTGAAAACAAGGAGCTGTAAGAACTTGCCTAAGTTTTGGAAATGTAAACTTTACCAGGTAAGTAACTCTTTGCTTGTCAGATTTACAGAGACTACACCATTTTGAACAATCTGAGTTGTTAATAGCTATGTCTGTCCAGCTGAACACTATATCAACAATATATTCACAAAGCTTCTCTTTTGAATCCAGGAAAAATAGTCAATAGCATCCAATTGAAGGAAACTGATATCTTGAACTTTGAGCAGTTTGACCAACGCTTGAGAAATAACTTGGGGAAAACCCTGGCAGATGTTTCTTTTAAAATTTTCCAATAATGAAATGAAATGAAATGGATGTGATCGAGGGAATACAAGTCTCTGTCCAAAGCAAGGCTTCAGGGATGCTAGGAGGTCGAATTAGAAGGGGTTTGTTTTTTGAGAAGGGTTTTCAATTTAGCCAGTGGAGAGTCATCCCATCCCCAGACAGCAGTGTCCTATAAAATCTGGGCAATGACTTTGCCCTGAAAAAAAAAATTCAGCACTAGATAAACCAAGCAATCCCCTGCAGTATTGTTAAATTTAAGGATAGCTGCAATGACTCTTAAACCCACTGCTTTAGTTTCTTTTATGTGAGTTTTCTAGGAAGGGATTTCTATGAAGTGAATGCCAAGGTATTTAAATTCCCAGCTTTGTTCAATCTGGTGACCATTCATGGGCCATTACAAATGAATGATCTTTTCCAAACACCAACGCCTTTGTTTTAGCATAGTTATTGCTCAGCTTTTCTTTAGTATAAAGTACGCTAAGCTGAGACGGCAGCTTTCTTAAATCTATGGAAGTAAGTGAAATTAAAGTGTATAAAAGAATGTATAAACGAACAGAAACTTATTTTGACCCAGTGAAAGGTGGGAAGATTTCTTGCCCAAAGAATACTGGACTACTGGCCATGTTGCTGGCACTAAGTCCTTGAATTTGCTATTAGGATGGGGCAAATCCATAGTACTGTACAAGATGTGTGAGTCCAACAGCTGACCTCCAGATCAAGAACATATTTGGACAAGTAGGGAGTTAAGGTCCCTTGGAAAGACCATTTGCAGTTCAGCATGTCAGCCTTTGGGGCATGTAATCAGGTGTATAATCCACTAGACACCATTCTTAAGATTCAGTTAATTGGGTTTCATTATTTCATTTATTAAGATGATAAAGTGAAGTTCAATGAAGCTGTTACAGTCATGTGGAAGAACCTGATGATACGTCTATAAGTCATAGCAAAGTAATAATAATAATAATAATAATAATAATA